ATTTACATAATAGGTCCCTAGATTTTGGCTTTTTAACTTTATAAATTTCGTTTAGTTATAAGTTTGACTTAAGTTCATTTAGATTCAGTTCCCTGTAAATTTGTTTAGTCTGAATTTCATTATATTTTTCATTTGCATATCATTAAATTTTCAAAGTCCGATAATAATTCAGACAAAATTTTGACAACCTCCCAACATCTCCCCCATTTAGGAGAAATTTGGGGAGCACCACACTACGAAGAGCGTGTATGGTAGGTGTCGAGCGACGCCTTAGCCGTGGTTCTTCAATCCCACCATGCTACGAAGAGCGTGTATGGTTCTTCGAGATACCTATTTGAAAATGCAATTATTTACTGCAGGCATGACGGCACATACACATGTACTTAGGGTTGTCCCCGCCATGCCACGATTCGCTCGTTCTGTTTTCATCTTTCTAGGGTTTCTCTACCGGAACTCTCCTCGCTTATGTTCTGTCTTAAGTCTTAACACTTCATTCCTCTTCTAAGTTTTTATTTATTCTGCTTATTCGTTGTTTAGTTTCCTACTGTTGTGTGCGTTCATAAACCATAAGTTCTCCTGATCTCTTGTCATGTCGGTCATCGCAGCCTCAACTCACAAGAAAATAACATTATTAGCATCTCTTTTCTGTTTTTTTATCTCTTAGAAGCTGAAGCACCAGTAGTTATTGTCGCCTAGGTTTTTTTAGTTTAGGGTTTTTTATGTTTCATTTAATGCTTAACAACAGCAACAACATCATCAAATTTTTGTCCCACTACATCGGGTCAGCTACATGAATCCTTTTTCACCATTGTGTCATGTTAAAAGTCAAATTCTCATTTAAATCTAATAAAGAAAGATCATTTCTAATATTTTCTAGCTAAGATTTTTAGGTCTACATCTACCTTTCTTAACATAAGTCAAATCTAATACCTCAACTTTCCTAACCGGGTCATCGGAAGGCCTCCGTTTAATGTAACCAAACCATCTAAGGTGACTCTCTCTGATCTTATCTTCCACTGGAGCTACTCCAACCTTTTCACGTACATGCTCATTTCATATCATATCTCTAAGGGTAAAGTCACTCATCCACCTAAGCATCCTCATCTCTACAACACTTAACTTATTGTTATGCTTCTCTTTTAATGGCCAACATTTGGCACCATAAAGCATTGCAGGTCTCACCACCATCTTATAGAATTTTCCCTTAAGTTTGAGGGGGACTTTTCTATCGCACAACAAGCCCGATGCATTCCTCCACTTCAACCATCCAACTTGAATTCTATTAATAATATCCCCATCTATTTCACCATTACTCTGAACAATAGATCCAATATATCTAAAACGTGTACTCTTATTAATAACTTGATCGCCCAAAGTCACAATCTCCTCACTAGGTCTATTCCTACTAAAATTACAATCCATATATTCAATTTTAGATCTACTCAAGTGAAAACCTTTAGATTTTATGGTTGACCTCCATAATTCAAGTTTACCTTCAACTCCCTCTCTAGCCTTATCAACAAGAAGAATATCATCAGCAAAAATCATACACCAAGGTACATCCTCTTGCAAATTTCTAGTGAGAACATCCATGACTAAACCAAAAAGATATGGGCTTAAGGCTGATCCTTGATGTAATCCAACTGAAATAGGAAAATACTTGGTCAAACCACCTTGTGTTTGAACACAAGTAATAACTCCTACATACATATCTTTAATGATTTGAATATAAGCATTATTAACTGCTTTCTTTTTAAGAACTCTCCATAGCACTTGTTTTGGAACTTTATCATATGCTTTCTTTAAATCAATAAATATCATATGAAGATCCTCCTTATTCTCTCTATTTTTCTCCATCAAAGCTCTCAATAAATGTATGGCTTCCATAGTAGACCTACCCGGCATAAATCCAAATTGATTTTGAGAAATATTAGTATCACATCGCAAACTACGCCCTATAACTCGCTCCTTTAATGCTTAACATGTTGAGATTTTTGCATGTTATTTAGTCTAATATTTTGTTTATACCACTTGTAGAGGAAGATTGGTCTCGGGCCTCTCGGGTTTAGCCGTTTTGCATTGAAGAAGTTAGGACTTCATTTTTTTTCCATTTTTCATTATGATTTTTTTGAGCTTTTCCTTTTTTATTTGTTGTATCATTAATACTTTGAAATATTGCCTATAATTTGCATTGGTTACATTGTAACTTAATGCAGCAAATATGATATTAACTTAATTACTGTTGGAGACTTGGAGTTTCTTTTAGTTCCTCTGTGTTCAATTCCTGTACCCCACATTATTATATGCTATTATGCTCTTAGTTTGCATTGAACGTTGTTATATGCCTATTGCCACTGAAATCAACGTTGTTGAACTTGTTAGCTTAGGTTATATTGTTGAATTTATAGTTGGGTTTCAGTGTTGTGCAAATGGTTGCTAAGTAATTTGTAGTTGGGCTTTAGTTTTCAGAACTTATATCCCTTTATTATTCACTGGTTGCCTGGTTAGCTGTTGTTGAGGTCAAGTAATGAGAGCTTAAGCAATGATGATAAACCATTCTAAACTGGAAGTGAGAGTCCCTTGGGGTAAAAACTATTGCAACCAGATGAAATTTGTGTTAAGTTGGCCTTAGCAGATACTATCTAATTAAAAATAAAATCAGATATTATGCTTAATGCAAAATGCCACCTTGAATGGTAATAGATATATTCGTTATTCAATCACATTTTATTAGTTGTTGAATAAGTTGGAGGGTAAATCTAAGCTATTAACAAGTCTCTTTAGAACTCATGTTTAGAATATTATCTATTTAACCATTTTTTGCAGTTTATTCTACTTTAAGTCTTGAAGATAGATTGTTCTCCACTGGAATGTAAATAGATCAGTTTGGCTAAAATGCAAATAGATCGGTTGCAAAATTATCTATTGAATTTATAATTTATTAGTGTATTGTTGAAGGAAATAAGGAAAATGACTGGTTGTAAGGAAAATTAATTCGTGTTGCAAAATTGATCTTATTGTCCGTAAGGAAACGATTCAAATTGTCAATTGCCATTGCTGATTTGTTGTAACCTGCAAGCTGTAAAGCTGTAAGGAAATAAAAAAATTGTTGCAGAAAATTTTGTTGAACAGATTTCATGTATTGGCTGCAGAGATTTATTAGTTATTTCAAAGATTTGTTTTTCCAATTTGCTATTGATGATTTTGAAATAAGAAAAATTGCTCAAATGATCAATGTTAAGAAAATTTTGATGTAACACTAATATTATTTTTAAATTGTAAATCTACTTAAAATTTCTTTTATACACTAAACCTGTAAACCAATTTTTTTATACACTAAACTAGTAAACTATCTAAACAGATCAATTTTTAAAAACAAAAGTTTTTTTTTTCAAACAAAGTGAGTTGCCGGGTAAATTCGGGTTGACCCGAAACCCGATTGGATCAGGTTCGGGTTAAGAAAAATGATTCGAAATTCAAATCAAGTCGGGTTCGGGACGGGTCAAAACAAAGCAGGTCAGAGGTAGGTTTGACCCGAACCTGACCCGCTGACCCATTTTGACACCCCCTAAGTGCAAGTAGGAGATTTATATGTCAGCTGAAAAGAGGCAAGAGGCTTTGGGTGAAATTTTGGAAAGAGAGAGCTGCAGGGGTGATTGATTAGGTGGTTGAGTGGATGAGCTTTGTGGCTTGGGATTTTTATGAGAAAAGGAGAACAAAGAGAGGCCATGTGAACTGCTATAGTTGAGGACGGCTGATTCCTGTACTGAAGAGAGAGATCAGTGTAGTGCTAAGTGTGAGTGTCTAGAGAATGAGGCTGCTGGGATTGAATGAGTGGAGATTGGAGGCGAGCTGCGATATGCTGGGCTAGTGAGGGAGGAGTTTGGGAGAAGGCTGAGGAAAGGTTTTGAGAGGGTTCTGGTTCACAAGAGAGGATGGAGCAACTAAGTGGAGAAGTTGAGGGCTTTAAGTGGCCGACGACGGGAGCAAGAAGATCGGTTGGGCTGGTCGGTGAATTGGGCTGAGTTGTGTGTGTTGTGAGCGGAAGGAGCTTGATTTCACGTGAGAGGAAGGAGCTGGGGCGTGAATGAGAGAATGAGCTAGAGATTAGGATTTTTATTATATTTTATTTTATTGTTTAGCACAAGGCATGTGAATTGTCACCTTGCATAATTATCATATTTTGTGCATCTCGATATGTGTATTTTTGCCTCGTAACTCATGCCAATTTTGCACTTTCACTCGTGCAAAGACAATTGTACAGTAAATTTTGGGTGTTTTCGACATTATGAATGTAATGGTGAAGTCCATTTTGCAAATGAATGACGTTTGGTCCATTTTGCAAATGGATGACGTTTAGTAAACGTCGAGCAACATTCCATCTATAGTTTGTCGATTTTGATCTTTTTCATTTGATTCAATTATGAAATGTCCCTTCCTATTTAAATTTGATATTCTAAATACATCGAAGCAGCCCGTTTAATAATTGGAAGTCATTTAGGTAGTTTTTGCTAGCATCGCGCTCAATAATAATAAGTTTTTAAATTGTTGCTCGATCGAGTCGCGTACAAACAGCTCCTCTTTGGTAAATTTGATGTCCCGAATACATCAATGTAGTCCATTTTGTAATGGGACAAAGTTTGAATCATTTCATCACGATCGAGACATTCTGATCTTTGTTCTAAATGATATCATCGTCTCCTTTGCTTGCATTGACCATGCCACATATATGAAGGTCAACAATGTTTATTTGAAAATTAATTCAAATAATTATCTTAAATGATTAAGAACATAAAAGAAAATGAAATTAAGAAGGAAATATTTACTTCAATGGATAAAGTTCAACAAGGAACAAAAATGTTTCTCAATGACAGGCGTGTATCATCCTTCTTTACATACTACGAGATCAATCTAAAATTTATTACAGCTAACATGGATAATAAATAATGCATGCATGATTCATTAAGACTTCTACATATCAAGACAGGAATAGAAATGACCTTTTACCCAGTTCCAAGAAGGCGATTGAAATAAAATGAAATTTATCCATCAGAACCTTGTAAGCATTAGTACCACCTAGAGAGAAAAAAATGTTAGTAAGCAAGTGTAAAAGATTTGGAAAACATAAGTAAAGGTTAAACAACATTGTTTTTGCATCTCACTTTAATTTAATAAAATATAACGTACATGCCATAAATAAATATTGTTGGTTAAATATAAAAAAAAAATATTTCAACATTTAGCTAATTTGGAATGAAAACTAGAAAAATTAAGAGGTTAATTTCGAATTTAAACATTCCAACACATGTTGTCCTTGAATTCCTTCTGTTGCTGCTCCACATAGACCAATCCACAGACATCAGCCTGCAGCAGACCATACCAACAGCAATTACCTTAACAATCCACGTATCACAGCTGTTTTTCCTTCCTATCTAACATGCAACATTATTTCCGCAATCTCCAAGCATTGGGGCTCTATCATGTTGCCATATTTCCTTTAAGTATAGCATAAATTCATTCCATAAAATGCCGTGCTAATATTTGAGAGCATACAACATTACCATACAAGAAGGAATAGCAGCATATGCATCTTAAATTAGTTCATATTATAATCTCTTACTCTTTTGGATGTGCATATGTACAAATAATATATAATTTAGCAAGAAATACAAGACACCAGTTCTTCTATTATAATTTACATTTTGTCTATGGTATCAGCCCAAGGTTCCGGGCTATAATCCAAAGTTTGATGGAGATCATGGCATGCCATGAATGATCGGCAGCTGGGGAACTTTCCTCCACAAAAAGCATGACCTTCACTAACTCTGGTATATGAAGATCAATTCCTCTCAATCACTCAGCACAAACTTAATTGAATTAATTTTCATGAATGATTCCAATCAGTTATGCTTGTGATTGGAGGAAGGAGGGAGTCAAATATTTGACAAGAACCGCAAGACCACCATTCAAAGATGCATTGAATTACAAATTCTTAGAAAAATGAGAATTCTATTCTCATGGATTGGCTCATAAATTTCACAAAGCCAAAGCCTAAAATCCAAAAAGGAATGAATCAGTCCAAACATTTTGTGGAGACAAATCCAACCAAGTCCTTTCAGCTTTAACAACTAAAAAAAAGGAGACACTGTGCTAACTACTTAATCACCAAAGAAAAATAATTAATGCAAGACTCAAGAAGCAAAGAAGTCTAAGGTTGCCTTTGCTCAATAAGGCAATACAAGTTATTATTTACTCTCAAAAATCAAACACGTTGGATTATTGACAAGGAGCATCAGATCATGTTAAAAGATCACAACAATCATTTGAAACCTATACTAAGATGAATCGCCCTATTACTGTTTGGGTAGCTAATTGTGTGATAAGGAAAAATTTCTGCATCAAATTTACTATTGAAGCACATTTTATAGGTGGATAGGTTAACTTACAATCTATTATATGTTAGTAAGTTGACAAAAGATATGAAAGGGAAAGTTACTTGTTTCTCCTCACATTATATATTCAGGGTAAATTTTCGAGGAAGTTAATTAACAGTGCACATGAAAGAAATGAACTATATTATCTTGTCAGCACCAAAATCGTTTCTAATCTACGTAATAGTGTGGGTCTTTCTGTATCCCGAACACTAACATATTGTTTTGGCATAAGCGTTTGGGACATCCCAAGTTCTCCTATCTGAATATCTTGTACCATAATTTATTTATCAACAAAGATAATGATTCTCCTAATTGTGAAATGTGCGTTCTCACTTAAAACCTAAAAACAACCTTTCACCGCAGCTAGACAAAACATCCAAAGCATTTCTCCTTATTCAAAGTAACATTTGTGGGGCTGCTACAACTATTAGTTTATCAGGAGCCCAGTCGTTCATAATCTTCGTTGATGATCATACAAGGGTATTTTGGGTATACCTAATGAGAGAAAAATCATAAGCCCATCACTTATTCAAACAGTTCAAACCTCCATCCAAATCATTTGCTCATAAAAATATTCTCTTGTATCCTCAGTTGCAAATCTCGATAGGAAGCTTTATCAACTCAACATAAAAAATAACTTCTTGAATGGAGAATTGAAAAAAGTATATAGGAAGATTTCTCCAAAATTTCAATCAAAAGGAGAAGGAAAAAATTGTAATTTATAAAAAAACAAAAATCCTCTATGATATAAAACATTCACCACGAGCTGGGTTTTCTAGATTCAGCTAACCCTAACTAGGGCTTGAAATCAGAAGGTAGGTATTTCGGTTGAAAGCATGGAAGAGTTGGAAGATAGATTTCTTCTCTTTCCTCCTTATGGACTGAAGGTAAGATAAACCGTAAGCTCTTGTCTTCTTCCTGCCCTTTATCTACTAATTTTCTATTTTTCTAGTGTAAAAATTGTCAAATTTCATAGGTTAAGAGGCACTTCTTGTCGGTTCACATTTTTAAAACACTAAAATTAGGTCCCTAAAAGACTTAAGAAATTTCATGCAGGTCCAGCAAGTTAATTTTTGTCCTTCAACTTGGCATTAATGGCTTGGCAACAACAGAAGCCATTCGTAATGAACTCCATCTTTGCCTGAAATTTTTTTTTTTTTTCTTGATAATGAGCTCTAAGCACATGATAATTCGCGTGTCTATAAGCGAATGCTCCGCTTTGTAGTTAACCATAATATCCTGTCCAGCATCTTAAAATGTCGTATCCTTCTTTCTAGATGAAAATTCTTAAGAGCTTCAAATATTTTATCACAAGAAAAAAGAGTTCAGTATCGAGCAAAAAATAAATTCATATCCTCGCTATACAAATGAAGAATAAAATACTCACCAAAATATGCTTCTGAAAATGTTGAAATGCACATCCCAAAGAAAACCCCTAAATAACTCTAAAAACCTATAAATTCAAAAAAAGTATAATAAATATATTGTTGAAATACATTTTGATAATATAGAAAATCTAAGAAATTGATGTAGGCAAATGGTGGGGGGCAAATTATTTGCCTTGTTTCTGGGCTGCTGATGGGTTCTCGGTTTGGGGCTTGGCTATTCGGTTTTGCTGTGTTTTGGGGAGCTACTTGACTTCAGCTCATTAAAGTTGAGTTGCTTCCTTTTTTAGCTCATTAAGTGGAGTGGTTTTGCTCTTTCCACTTCTCTTTGGCTCTTCAGTTCTTCCCTTGCTGCCTGTTGCGTGGCTGGCTTCTCCTCTCCCCGTGGCAGGTTTTTCTCCCCTAGCTGCCTGTTCCGGTTCCCCTGGCTACCTATTCCTATTCCCTTTTGTGGCCCCTTCGGCTGATGTTCCTGGCAGCCTGCTGACCTTCTGTTTTCCCTGTTTTGATTGTTTCGGTTGGAGGTATTTTGTGCTGTTTGGATGCCTCATTTCTCCTATAAATATATGATGTTTTGTGGATAAAAAAAAAGAGATTATGGACTAATTTTTGGAGCCAAAAACCTGAGGGTTTTCTTCTTGGAAAAGCTTGCGAGCTTGTTCGATTTCTCTTCTTCTTGGGAAAGATTGCGAGCTTGTCCTCTCTTCGATTTCGTCTCGAGCTTCTTTTCTCTTTCTTCTCTCCGCAAGTGACCACCCCATTTGTATCTTTCTTCTCAATGATTGCAAGCAAGTTTAGGAGTTTTATTTCATAAGTTTGTAGGCATCATCTTTATAATATGGAAGTTGTTGTGTTTTGTTTAAGTGTGATATTTATCTACTTTCTTATTCTCAAAGAAGACCTAGTTTTTATGTATTTTGACAATCTTTCGATTGCATCAGAAATATAGTGAAGAAATCATTAAAAATATTTGAAAAATGAAAACATCCAAACCAAAAAACTCTTAATAAAAATACAAACAAAAAAAAACCTTAAAATTTAGGACAAGAATGATAACAGCGCATGTAGAATTAATTATCCACAATGCCACTTTGTAGGAGCTTCTTGAATTTTAACTCTTCCATTCAAAGGAAGTAATAAGGATCACCTTACAAGAAGACGAATCTTAGAGGAAGACGAAGCATAGAGGGAGATGAAGGTTGCAATCACTGGAAATCCTCATTTCATCTCAATATGATTTCCCATATGAGCTTATACATAAGGTATTTGGATCTCAAAATAATTCTTAATAGAATAGCGTCACATAAAGGACACATGTAACGTCATTCAATCTCATAGATCTAATTGTAGTTTTTTCAAAAGCGTGGACAATCAAGAAACACATCTTATACCTCAAGGGCAGGCATATAATTTACCCTATAATATAATATAATAGATATGCATGAAGAATGCTTGAGCCAAACAAGTGGACAACCACCTGCCAGGATCTAGCAAGTATATAATATCCCGGTATCATGCATGTATCAACAAGCCCATGCGCAATGCGCAAATAGAAAGTTGTTGCAAGAGTGCACAAACAATGAGTTTTCACCATGCTCATATAAAAATAAGATGTTTGTCAAAGAAAAAAAATTCTAAGTACATACATACTAGCAATAAAAGGTGACCAAACATGGACAAGCATTTGTCCACATGTATTTGTAGATATTGTGCATGACCAGAATAAATTGAGATGATAACATGCTTTTGTAAAGAAAAATTAAAAAAAAATGAAGAAAACCTCATGACATAGAGCAGTTGCTCGTGAAAGCATTAACATAATAAAATGGAAAGCTTCTTTCCAGGAGTTCTTACATGAGAAATGCCAGTCACGATCATATATGTGCTTATGAAATTCTAACAAAATTGGCACCTTAATGTCAACGGGAATGCTTGTATCATCCTCTGCAAAAGGTTAAATCAAAACAATTCATCTCTATGTTTCTTCCCTAACATGTTTTTTTGCAAAATCACAACATTATTGAATATTCGGTTGAAATTTTTCATAGCAATGAAATAATAAACGCTGCATAGAAAATGTCAACTTAGAGCAGAGTAAAAATACTTTTCTGGCAACCTGGCCCAAATTAGAACAGCGTAAAAATCCTTTTCCAGAAACTCAAAACTGTAGTCATTAAAGTTTTGACAAATCATTCAGCAAGACAAAATCCTTGGTTATGCATGTCTCTGACTATAGGGACCCATGATTTTATTTCCTTTCAATTTAGAACTTACCATGGCTTCTTATATTATGTTTCTTCAATTTTTTGTTCAGACACCAGGAGTAAATGTTGGAGCATATTTGCAAGAAATGAACATGTATAAAATTTAGGGTTCTTTCTTATAGATATGCGACAAAAAACCCCACTTGAATCATTTGATTACTCTTTACCCAAAAAAAACCCGTGCTCAGGGGAATAAGAATCTATTTTCTTTTCTCGAGTACGGGCATTTCTGATCTAACTTTATCATGTCTTTAGCACGAGTTATTTTACTTGGTTAACAATACTTCTTGTTTTGCCCATATTCACAGTTTCTTCAATTTTATTTTTCCCTCATAGAGGAAATAAGGTATATAGGTGATATACTCTATGTATATATATTCTAGAGCTCCTTCTAATGACCTATATATTTTGTTATCATGTCCAATTGGATGATCCATTAATCCAATTGAAGGAGGATTATAAATGAAAAAATCTTTTTGATTTTTATTGGAGACTAGGAACCAATAGATTTTCCATATGACCCATTTTACTGAAAAAATTTATTACTATTTACTTTAGCAGCTTGGCCAATTACTCGAAATATACAATTTTTCTATTTCTTGATGTTAGCAATGTATAGTGGCTGATGATGGTTCATGTCGGCCACTGAACTCAAACCTTGCTTCACCCTTGGACATGGTTGTGCAGGCATAGAACTTCTCACAAATGAGTCGGAAAAAACCACTGCCCACACAAGCTATATTTGTCTTGTGCAATGTGGGCTCCGAAAATTCGCGCCTCAACCTCTACTTTCGGGGAGTTTTAATGAATTAGATTACGGGGTAAATTTTGGGAAGGCATATTGGGTTTGTAGAATAGACACTACCAGAGATTTCGCCCTCATTTTGTGTGAACTTTATGATCAGAGTTTTGGTTTCCTATAGGTGCAAGCCCCGATAGTTAATTACCCCTCCCCCCCAAAAAAAAAAATCAGTGAGAGAGAAACTTTTGATTTAGTCGTCGTCAAATATGTAAAAATACGTGTTATCTGGCATATAGTAACAGCATGGGTTGGTATTTGAAAATTTGATATTTAAAATTGAAAATTTCACCATCTTGCACTTAAAGAGGATGGTGGGGGAATGGATAATGAACCCAATCAAGATCACATAGTTCTGTAGTCCCAGGTCATCTTGGTCCCTAGTCTACTTAGTCAGAGGAGGTAGTCAACCCAACCTGACAGAAGGATCATTGTCGACGGCCATGGGTTGCGTCTTCCAAGGGTACCTTGTAAACTTGAGGTGAGTATTTGTCTAAAGAGACAAATCTGAATCCACCTTAGCTAACATAATGTTTTAATGATTCATATCTCAAGGATTTAGTGCCATTAGGGGACATACGGGATCTAGCCATGACCGTAATTTAGTAGTGTCATTTGATGGCAAACCATCAAATTCAGAGGGCCCCGGTCAAAACCATTTACTTGCAGTGTCATTTAAAGATAAAACCACCGACGCATGACACGTCCTTACTGGCAAGAGACTATTTGAGATTGAATCCTAGTGATATTCTAGACTAGATACTAGCTTTTTGTGAGCCGGAGTGATATCTAAATGTCCACCCGACAAAATGTTGCGGAGGGTGGATGGACTTTACTTTAAGTGTTTGATGGTTGATTTCAATTTTATTTTTCTTTTACTTTTAGAATTTTGAATTTCATAAGTATTTGGGCAGCATTTTTAATATTTGGAATTAACCCCTCTGGTTGAGATTTTCGTTCAACATGGTCATCATCGGGGTTTAATAGTCAATTATATTTCATTGGTTGAACATTGTCAACTATGTTTATTGTCGACAGAGGATTGGATTCAAGCCGGCTACATACTTTTATTATTGAATTTCTCTTGTTATAGATCTTAAAGGCCTAATATGAACGTGTAAAAAAATATCGTGGCTGATACCACGACTATATATTTATTTGATGGCTCGAGTCGTGTCGACTCCTATCTACTCGCATAGAAGAATCGGGCTCGAACTTGGATTTATTGTCTGACCCACACAGCATCCCTAGACATCATGTGTATGTCCATAACACGCTTGTCAGGGCCCATGCGGGTATATGATTGCACATTTATTTATTTGCGTTTGTGTGTATACATATCATAGTGCACGTGTGGGGGCATTTTTAGAATATTCGTCGGGTCTTCTACGGCAGCAAGCGGAAGTTTATTGTGGTTGTGGCGAATCCTTTTTGTATTTGCCTGTAAATGATATACTGGGTACACGACGGGTCTTCTACAACAACTCATAGGTATTTGCACTTGATTTGCCAATCAATTGCTTGCAAGGGATCTATGTATTTGTCTTCTATTGGATGATTATTGATTATGGGAGTATTACATCATACACTGCATGCTACCAATCATCACTCGTAAGTATATTATTGTGAATGTGGAGAATCTCCTATCATCGCTAGCGGGCATTTGCATTCATTTTGCGCTTTACTAAACACATCTATAAGAGGCTGTGTTGTTTGATTGGTGTCGGATGTAAGGGTGCTATACTATTCATCACCTCTTATTACAACAGTTGTAGGTGATTTGTATATGTTGTTGATTGTCGTCATCGTTATCAGCAAGTGTTAGCATTCCTCATATGTTGCATCATATAAGTTTGTACAAGGTATTATCGTTTGCAATCATTCACAAATATTGCCACGTTCACTGCACATCAGTCCTACATCGTGGAAGACTAGTATATTCATCTGTATGTTGACCAATGTTGAATGTAGGATCTTGTCATACTCACTGCCTCTTGTTACACAATTTAGAGACGCTTTCATTTGTTACAATTTCTTCTATGTTTTGCTTGGGACCTCTCACATACGTAGCATTCCAGTCATTGTTGTTTCCAAATGTGTCGTCTAAAAAATTGCAACTTTCACTTTGTATGACCTTTAGTGTTCGACGGGGCTCTATCACGCTTACAACACATCTAACATCGCTACTTGTGGGTATTTGTAAGGAGTATTATTGTTCGCAGGGGTCAATATATTTGCTTGACACCATATTATTGTTGATTGTAGGAGTGCTGTAGTATTCACTACATGATGCTTATATATGTTTGCAAAGGAATATGTATTCTCGCATGCAGTTAAGTGGCATCAATGGTAAGGGGGACTATCTTCTTTGCAACAACATTACTTTGCTTGTAGACATGTTATGTCTCTTGTGTGTCATTTGCCTTTGCTTACGAATTGATTTTGCTGGTTGACATCGATTTTAGGAAGGTTATTGCACTTGGTTTATACCCTCCATGCATCGTTCATGAGCATATCATTGTTGCGGGCCACAAAGAAAATGTATAAGCTGTCATGATTTATAGATGTTTGCATTTATTATAGTTCTTCTGTATATGCCCATGAATGGTATGTCATATGTACGACGGGGCTACAGTAGCTTACATGTACTTGTATTTGTTACGCATCGACCACCCTTGCTTGTGGGGAAACCAGTGTATTCACCTAAAAATGAACGGTGGTTGATCGCGAGGGTGTGGTAGCATCCATCACCTGTTGTTGATCACCACTACCATGCCTAATCTTTTTTCATTGTCAGCAAGTGTTAAGCACCCATCATGTTGCATTGAATATGTCTGTAAGGAGTTTCACTATTTTGTAGACAAGATGATTATTCATCTGCAAGCTGATGTTGGCAACTAGGTGAGCTTTCTCCATCAACTTTCGTGTGCTTGAAAAGGACTCCTCATCCCTGCAAGATATCTACAGTTGCTTTGTCATTCGTAAAAAGCTTAGTGCATTTGCTTGCATGTTGATGTTGATTGCCTACTAAGTTATACTCATCAACAATTTCTTGGTGCATATTAGCTAGCAATTTGCTATACTCATAGCACATCAATCTTCAGAACTTGTAAGAGACTATAGTCTTTTATTTGTTTGACATTGCATGTTTGTGAGTGGTAGAGATGTTGTCGCATTCGGTATGCATCCATATGACAACTGGCATTGGTTTGTAGGGAGATTTGTTGCATTTATAGTTCATTTGTCGTCATCACTGCTTGCCAAGATTTGTAAAATTTATGCATACAACATATTAGTGCGTTGATGATTGCCCATTATTGCTTTTGTATGGGCTATTGTATGCACGACAGTTCTTGGTTCTTGCCCGTAGAAAAGCTATCAATGAATGTTTGCCTCTATCATATGTTGCATGTCAAATCTTTCTCGTTGTATTTGCTTGCACGATTGATACATACATCAATTGCTCTCATTTGCAAGTCAATTTGGCTGAATACTCTAAGCCATTTTGCTTTCATCGTTTGTTATTTGTATGCATTGAGAGTTCAATCATCACGAGTCTTTTATTCGCTTGCATGAAGCTCATTTGAATGCTCTACACAAGCTCCCTATTCTCTTGTTGATTTTTGCATTTGAGTTGATACAGTAGCTTCCTTGATATTGATTGAAGAACTTGCATTGCTAATTGCATACTGTTACACTTCTTCAATTAATTCTTGCTTGCATGGTTCGTTTTATCTTTCAAATTATAGGTTTTGTTTTAGGCATTAAGTTATGTTCCTTATAATCCATTCAAGTGTCCAACTTCATGTGCATTTTGTTCGAGTTCAAGTCAAGTGTGTCGTTTGATTCAAATTCAAGATCATGTCCCCTATAATTTGTTAAAGTTTTGTACGTCTTCAAACTGAATTTCAGAAGCCTCCAGACGTCTCCCCCGTTTAGGGAAAACTACAGGAAAATGGGTCATCCCACCATGCTACGAGAGTATGGTAGGTATCGGGTGACACCACGACTGTATAGCTTCACTCCCACCACACTACGAGAGTGTGTATGGGGCTTCAAAGTGCCTGTTGAAAGATGCAATTGGCTTTCCCCACACGCTACAAGAGCGTGTACATGTACTTAAGGATGCCACGCTACGAGAGCGTGTACATGGCTTACCCGCCTCATCGTAAGTGTAGCACCGGGTTCCTCCCACTGTGCTATGAGAGCGCGTATAAGAAGTTTTCCGGCTCGACGCAAACGTCGAATGCAGAGTTTTTGAGTTTAGGACGTTATACCTATGTGCGGTCCGATGACGACGGCAGTGATTGGTAAATGCACAAAAGCAACCCCTCTTCTTCTTCCTTTTTTTCATTTCTCACTTTTTCTTTTGAACTCTTCCTCCTTTTTTTTATTTTTCTTCTTTTATATGTATGTATGTGTGTGTGTGTGTGTGTGTATATATATATATATATATATTTGTGCATATATTTAATTATAAAGAGATGAGAGAGACATAGAGAGTTTTACATATAGAGAGAGATTTCTCTCTGTTTAAATGGTCGACAGTTAGCGGCTAGGTGATATGGGTCGGCCGAAGGCTTGAAGAGGTTAGGGCTTTTAGGTTTGTGGCTTAAGAGGGGCAGCAGGGGTTGGTTGCAAGGAATAGATGGTTCGGTTAGATGGAGTTTGCGGCGGCCTATAGCAGGGTCAGGTCTGGTAGATAAAATTGCAGAATCATGTAGGGGTTCGGTCTTGGCTGGAGGAAGGCGTCGGATGAGGGGTCTGCTGCTAGGTCTATGGAGTTCAGGTCAAGGCTTCGACTAGGGTAGCTCTAGAAGTCGGAAGCAGCAACAAGAGTGTGAGGTAAAGACGGGACGTGGGTTTGAGTTGAATTTTGCATTTGCATTCATCTAAAATCGGTTACAAAAAGAACCCAAAACAACAAAAAAACCCCTAAGTGGGGGTAAAACTATTTCTATCATCCTCAAGGATGGACAAAAAGACTTGAGGAATACATGTGTAATCCAGGGACGTGGGTTTGAGATCGGATGTGAAGGTCGGCTGAAGGAATCGTGAGGAAGAGAGGGCTAGAGTTTTTCGGTTTACTGGAGTTGAGTGTGGGAATGAGCGAGACGAAGAGAGAGCTGAGGGCTCTTCTCGTGTTGTTTTCAACGGAGCGGAAGCAGGGTCGAGACAAAGCACGCGGAGACTGCAAATAGCGCCGTTCGCAGAGGTATGGGGCACTGTAGTTGCGATTTCTTTAGGATTCGTGCAGGTATGCGATGATTTAAGTCTTTTTTTATTATATTTTTTATTTTGGGTTAAGCTACATAGGTCAACATGCAAGTCGCCAACCAAACATGAGTTTGATCTATTTTACAATTAAATAGCACATTTACATAGTTTCTTTTACTAAGTAGTTTAATAATGTTGCAGCTAGCTAAAAACCATGATTTAAAAAACTTGCAACTAAGAAAATTATCGCACAATATAATGCAACAAAAATACAAAAGTGTTCAATAAAAGTCTGATAAGAATGCCAAAACAAACTTAAAATTGCACTTAACTTGTCATATTTTACAGACTAAAAAGTAGATTCTAATAACTGAATTATCTTATTTTATTCATTATAGTAATTCTAATAATTAATTAATATTAATAATATTATCCTTAAACTTGCTATTGAGTAATTAATCGTCATTGACAATTACAGTTTAAAGTAATTGGATAGTTGTCAACACTGGCCTCCCCCTTTTACTCGTTCTTCATCAAGGCATTTTTGTAACTTGAGCAAGCTTGATTTACACATTGCAATTAATGGTAACAACCAACATGCAACCTAAAAGGCAGAGCTCATATTCTTTCCTGAACAAGTTACCAAGTTCCGTGCATTGAGAAAAGTCATATTGATGCCATGAGAGCTGCTTGCTTCTAGTTATGAGTATTGAGTTTTACTTGAGTCAATATAAACATTTTAGTAACTTATTTTATGTAGTTTATCCTCATTTGTTACTCTGTCACTTACTGAGCACAAAATTATCATTTATAATTTTAGATATGCTTGTTATTAGTTTAATTTTAGCAGGTTTAGAATGTCCGTTAATTTATGGCTACTATGATAAATTATAATCCTTGAAATTTAGATGGCTGCTAATAGAATAAAAGAAGGATGGGTTTTCTTCTATAATCAGCTCTAAGGAACACTTCTCCTAGACATGAGATTCTTTATTTCCCTCTCTTTATGTCCAATTCCTTTTCACTTGAGGCGCTCATTCATTTTTTTCTTCTCAAAGTCTTCTTTCTCTTTCTCTCACCAGTTCTCCCTATACCAAATTCTTCTTTCTTTCACTCTCTATATGTCCAATTTCCCTGTACCAAGCAAAGCTTCCTAATGATTTCTTATAAGAAAGTATGAACACCACAAAAAGAAATGGGATTCATAAAGAATTTAAAGGAAAGATGTGAGCAAAGCTGATGAGAACATACCAACAGTATCGAGGGCTCTGAGAACCAAATAGAAGATGCACACCTGCACAAATAAAGCACCAAGTCAACAATCCTATAATTAAAAAAAATGCCTCACAAAAAATAACAATTGTAATGTAAGAAAACTCATTTTTGAATTGTGTGATGTTATTAGCTTACACGCACATGAAAAAATAATTAACGCGGGAACATGCAAGCATAAATACATAGTCATGCATGCATGCATGCATTAACAGTCCGGCAAAACATACATATCAAATCTACTTATATATTCAAATTGATGAATAAATATATACAGAGGAAGTTAGGCTCAGGTACAGACATTTGAAAAGAATCATTGCTATTTGAATAGGACCTATTTTGAACATTCGTGATACTTCAACTTATATGCGAAAATGAAAACAGCAAGCACATTTTGAGGAAGATCTTTTTCCATTATTAAAATGTGAATTACGTGGTCTAAAAGATTTCGATCATGAGAGCCTAAAATAAAAAACAAGATGGATGATATTAATCTATATAAGAAGAGTTTGATGAGAATCAAAAGTCATGAAACTTCAACTTTATTTGACCACTTATCCAACAAAAGAACCGAATAAATGGTATAGAACTAATGATGTCTAAATACTTTCTTGATGAAGAAAATTTGAAAATCCTATTCATACATTTTATGCAAAAACTAAGCTTTGGAGAACATAAATTTTCAGAGTACTTGTGGCATATGCTAGATATATAGGAATATCACGTCATATTACACATGCCAGCAATCAACATAAACTTTGAATAGGCTTGATCAACTAAATAATAATGAATATAGTAAATTTAAGTCTCCAAATTATTCTACTTGTACAAATAAGCAATGGTCAAGATGAAGCTCAAATTCACAAAGAAAAAGGTGAACTACACATAGTATCTATGTAGATCATGCTTTACATTGATTGGCATGTAAAAAAATACTACAATTAGATCCCTGAGATTCGATGCCATAACATGCAGGACTCTATCATGACTATTCTATTAAAAGTTCCACTATTGTCTAAAATACAACTGTTTTATGAGTTAAATTTCGGCACCTCATTGAGAGAACATGACACTACCAGCATCATAATCCTTTACCTTCCTCCATTGTTATTCTTCATATAAGACAATTTCGATGAATTCTAGCAACTTTAAGGTCATCCAAGTTATTTGCTGCAGTCAAGACTAGCTATTTTATGTTTTCTTTATTTTTCACTTGTGTTTCTAGCTCGCTTTCTCCTATGGTTGTTTGTTTCCTACTGTTAAGCCCTAAGTTATTCCTTCGGTTTCCCCGCTAGCTCACTGTTTTTCGTGTTGTCTTCTCATGTTCTTTGTTGTCTACTCATTTTCCCTGCTGTTGTTTGGTTTTCCATGTGGTTGCTCGATTTCCTTGCTATTTTATTGATTTCCCTTTTGTTGGTTGCTTGGTTTCTTCCCCTTACTAATCCTTGTGTTGTTTGCTTTGACTTCTCTCTGAATAGGCTGATTTGGAGGGGTTTTAGTGATGTAGACAAACATTATGTAATCTTTTATGATTGTATTGTTTCTTTTTTTTATTTACCCTATGAAGGAAGCCAACTAATGATCTTGCTAGGTTGGTGCTCTTGGAAATATCTCTCCCTTTCCTTCACTTTGTCCGTTTGGTTTCTGTGTTGGTGTGTTGTTTCGGTTGCTGTCCATTTCCATAAAGTTAATATTGTTGGTGGTTATTGGTTTAGGTAGATTTTTCTGGCAGTTGTTTCCCCATGCTGTATGTTCCCCTCCCTTTGCCATTTCCTATGTAATGTTGGCTCCAAAAAGTGTGGTGACTGCTAGTTTCCTAGGCAGATTTTCTTGGCTGATTGTTTCCCCATGTTGTATGTTCCCCTCCCTTTGTTATTTCCTATGTAATGATGGCTCTTATTGGTTGCTTGGAGGCGGCACATTTATGGGGTTGTTGGGCTCTTTTTTTTCGATATATGGGGGGATGTTTGTTGCTGGTTGGGGGAGTTTTTTGGTGAAGTGTTTACATACAAACCTGCGGGTTTTAGCATGTGAGCTAGTCTCCTATTCCCTTCTCTTCTTATACTTTGTTTTGGTCTTCTTCCTCTTCTTCTATTTTCACAGTAACCATCCAATTGTATCCTTCTTTTCTTGTGAACTTCAAGGTGTTTGCTGCCACGTTTTGGTTGGTATTTGCGGGTGAAGGTTCGACTTGTGCCGAATTGATTTAGTGGTGGATTCCGGATTATAACTTTATTTGAGCACCTATCATATATTTTAAAAGTTTGCAGCTGAGGTGACCACTTGTTGGCTATATTGCACTGATACGGATACGGCGACACGAATATAACACGATCTGGATATAGGACACGTCAATTCTTAAAAATGCAGGATACGGGTATGGCGCAAACACGACATTATAATTTATAAATCATACATAAAAATTAAGAAAGCAATCAAAGCATAATATTTGAAATTACAAAAAAAAAAATGAAAGCAACATCATTTGTAGCCTTGTATTTATAATATTAAAATAAAAGTAAGCATTAAATATATATTACAACAACAAAAGCATAAACATAAATTGTGTGACACATGAAGTTTCAACTATTCAATACAAGGAATGATATGATTAGCTTCTTCAGTGGTTTGTCTTAGAACTTTTATATCATCTTCAATAAATATCATAACTTCTAATTCAGGCCCATCAAGTGAAAGATTAGCAATTTATAATATTTTCATATTATCAAGAGACTCAAATCCATCTCGGAAATGAGAGAACCTCGCTCGCAGCCACGGAAGTAAATATGACGAGTCTTTTTTCTGATTTTTTTATTTTTTTCAACGGAATCGCGTATCGATACGCGTGTCCTTTTGAAATTAAATAGTATTTTAATTGGATATGGCTTTGCCATGTCCGACACGTGTTGGTGCCGCATCGGAGGCTAATCCGTGTATCGGTGTGTCGGATACAGCACGCCTTCATAAATAGGTGTATCAGTGCAACATGGCTTGTTGGTTGTTCTGAGGGTAGTTTTTTATCTTGCTTTTTAGTTGTTTTTTCCTTTAGAATTTCGTAACAGTTTTCTAAATTGACTTGTTTCTTCTTTATGTTATATTTTGTGGATGTTTATGAGTTATTGAAAGGAAGAATTCCCTTGTTGCTTTCCTAAGTTCTCCATAAACTTTTTAGAAACTTAGGTTGCATCATTTAGTTGTTGTTTTGGTGACACATTTAATTGAGCAATTATTGTCATTTTCCCCTCCTACTATTGATGGGGACATCGACAAGAGGTTTTGACGCGTTTATCAAAGGCGACACAGGAGATCGATGGCCACGATGGAGAGTCTTTACTTTTGATGCATTTTCTATATTAGCATTTTATGTATTAATCATTCTATTTCAGTTTTTTCATTTTTGCCCTTATGGGTAGTTGGTCACTATTGTAGCCCAAGGGGCATTCTAGTCTTTTGTTTTCTTTGTCATTTTGAGGCCTATATATATGGCCATCTTCTTATGTATGAGGATAGTTGATGAATGAAAATTTTCTCTTGTTATTCTTTTTGTGAGTTCATGACATTTCCCCCAGATCTCTTTGTGAGTTATTGAGGAAATAATATTGTGGATCTCTTTGTGAGTTCTAGTGGATGAAGTGTTGAGATTTGTGATTCTTATTTTCCTCTTCCTTCTCCACCATTCTCTTCTTCCTCCACCTCAAGAGAAGACAACCAAAACCCATTAGCTTGGAGAACCCGACCCCCCCTCCCCCTTCTTGCCGCCGCCCCTTGGAGCCCAAGCCGCCGGCTGCCGTCCTACCACCGGCCGGCCACCTTGCCACCGACCTCCCTTCATCCACCCGCCACCCTTCTCTTCTCCTAGCCATCATATTTGAAATTCAAATTTCAAATTTCAAATTCTTTCTAAATTAAGAAATCCAAATTAGGCAAGTTTTTATGTTGAATCCAATTTTAAATTAAATCAAATTGGATTTAATAATTTTTTTTTCCTAGTCATCATTGCCTATTTGGAAACTCCCTCTCATCCTCCCCCATCTCCTCCCTCTTCCTTGATGTCGTCGGCCCCTTAATGGGGTTTCCCATTGAATGCTCATTCAATGCCCTCACTCCTTGTTTGAAATCTGAAATTGATCTCAAACAATTCTCCCTCCAATTTCACTTAAAACTGAAATTGATTTCAATTTCCTTCCACAACCCTGCTCCCCTCTCTCTATGTCGTCGGCCCCACTATAGCTCCCTCCCATTAATTCCCTCCTTCAATGAATTAATTACCACCTATTTTAATTCAAATCTCAAGAGTATTTCCCTCCCAATTGACTATAAATCTGAGTTTAATTTCAAATTTTGATCAAACCACATCATTACCCAATCCTAATTTGTTTTCTCCTCAAACCCTAGCCTCATCCTCTCCACCTCTTCAAGCCGTCCACCACCTCTCCTCTCTTGGGTTTTCTTATCGTGTTCCTCATCTCCATGCAAACCATGCATGGCGGATCCCGAAGTTGATCACAGTTTTGCGTACAACGAGCAAGGGGAGATCGACATCTTTCTCTCCCCCTTCTACGAATCGGATTAGGAATATGACATCACCGTTGAACGCTACGTCAACCGGATCGTGTATTGCCTTTCCCACACCATTGAGCTTCAACGACCAAGGACCCCGTGGTCCCTCACCGGAAGATACGTGCCACCTCCACCTCCGGCTACCTTCCCAACAACGACATTCCTCGGCTCGTCCGTCCTAGTGGTTCATTTCTAATGTGGAAGATCTTTCTCCACTCAACCTAGATTCGTAGGGAAGAGAGTAGATCCTCAAAGGTGAACACCTCATTATTAACTTTTGGATTTGTGTTATAAGCTTTTACATTACTTCACCTTTGTATTTGATTGAGAGTGTCTTGGTTAATCTTCACGCAACTCTTTGCCTAAGCAAGTGGAAGACTGAGAATTCTTGTAACCTACTTTGAATTGACGCATAATTGTATAAAGGTTAACTTCTATTAAATTCTCTTGATAATCTTATGTAATTCCAAGCATGTATCACATCAACTATATAATGTGGCTTATTTCATTTGTGAAAGTGAGAGATTTGATGAATTTTTGGAATGTGAAACCTGAGAGTTTTTCTTAGCTTGCGAGCTATCTTCTTATGCATTCCCTATATTATTTCATCTTGTACTTCTATCTACTTCTGCTCTCCACGATTTCCATTCCACATGTATCCTTCTTCTCAAAACTTTTATAAGTTCTAAGGTGTTATTGTGTCATGTTTTATTGAAAGTTGAAGTGTTGTTGTCCTGTTTTATAAAAAGTTGAAGTGTTGTTGTGTCATGTTTTATTGTTGTGTTTGTTTGTGTTATTGAAAGGAAATGTCCCAATTTGCATTCCTAGTGTTCTCTTACTTGGCTTAAGAATTGTAGGTTGCATCAATTTGGTATCAGAGCATTAGGTTGTGGGTCAAATCTTCATTTCTCTTTAAAAACCAAAAACAAAAAAAATGGATAGTCAAAAAAATAAGTCAAAGTTTCAATTCAAGAGTAAGATCTACCATCAGATCGAAACATTATGGAAGTACTGTCATTCAACCAGATGAACCAAACCAATTAATCCATAATTTTCAATCAACTAAATGGGTGCCACTTCAAGCAATTTCTACTGATCTGATACATAATGAAATATTCAAAGTACAAAGACAATAATATTTATGTAATGAGAAATATGAAAATAGGAAACTTCTACTTCGATCAGAGTGTAAACAAGAAAAAATAGAAAATAATTAGGAAATACAATATTCTACTGAAGGATGCTGAGAGGGAGAATTTTCATAAAAAATATGAAGATTCTGGAAAGATTTCAAAGGATTGTTTTGCATAAAGTTATTAATCATATTACAAATGAAGGAGAACCAACTGATTCTATGGATATAAATACTGTCTCTTATTGTTCCAATTCAGACATGTGATGATCTTCTTGAAGATGTCACGGATATCCATACTACCCAGACAGACATGGAGTACATAGGAGATTCTTAGTTAGATGGAGTGGACGTTCTTTGCCTGATTGCTCTTAGATTGAGGCTGTGGAGTTGCAACGTCATCATCCTGATATTTTCTAGCGTGTTACTGCGTCATTTTCATCAGGAGATGAGATTCTTCCACCAGGGGAGAATTGACGCTATCAAGACTAGCTATTTTATTTTTATTTTTATTTTTCACTTGTGTTTCTAGCTCTCTTTCTCATATGGTTGTTCGTTTTCTGTTGTTAAACCGTCAGTTTCATGTTGGCCCTTTGATATTCCTGCTGGCTCGCTGTTTTTTTCTGTTGTATTCTCATTTTCTCTATTTTCTACTCATTTTCCTTGTTGAACGTTTGAATTCCTTGCTGCTGTTTGGTTTCTCCATGTGGCTGCTTGATTTCCCTAATGTTTTATTGGTTTCCCTATTACTGGCTGCATGATTTCTTCCCCTTGTTGATCCCTATGTTGTTTGTTTTGACTTCTCCATGAATAGGCTAATTTGGAGGGATTTTAGTGAATGTTTTGGTGGCACATTCAATTGAGCAATTTATTGCCATTTTCCTCTTCTTCTCTTATATAATGTGGTTGTTTCCTTAATGAAAGAGAGAGAGAGAGAGAGAGAGAGATTTGATGAATTTTTTAATATAAAATCAGACGATTTTTCTTAGCTTGCGAGCTATCTTCTTATACCTCCCCTCTACTAATTCATCTCAGACTTCTATCTACTTCTCTCAATGGTTTTCATTCCACATGATGTATCCTTCTTATCAAAACTTTTATAAAGTGTAAGGTGTTGTTGTGTCATGTTTTATTGAAAGTTGAACTGTCGTTGTGTCATGTTTTATTGAAAGTTGTAAATGTTGTTGTGTCATGCTTTATTGAAAGTTGTAAGTGTTGTTGTGTCATGTTTTATTAAAAGTTGAAGTGTTGTTGTGTCATATTTTATTGTTGTGCTTGTTTATGTATTATTGAAAGGAAGTGTCTTAGGTTGCATTCCTAATGTTCTCCTACTTAGCTGAAGAACTTTAGGCTGCATCAATTTGGTATCAAAGCACTAGGTTACATCATTATCCATAAACCTAAAATTACACGATTATTGGTTGAAATTATTTAAAAAAGAGAGAAATGTCATAAACCAATATTGGCAATGAATGAGATTAGAATTTTTAGTGATAATTTAAAATGTTATGAACAATGTCCAAGGAAATGCAACATGGGACGTTTAGATAAAATATATACATGTATTTTATTGCATTTATGACATATTTGAAACTTCTTTAAATTACTAATAATTGATAATGTCTGGATGAATGGTGCAAAGTGTTTAATTCAAGTGTGTTAATTTTTTAAAAAATAGCCATAATAATTCTCAATCAAACTTCTTCGTCTGGATGTAAAATAAATTGGAGTGTTTTTGAGCAAATTCACATAAAAAGATGAAATCCTCCAGAGCATCAAAGGCTATATTAACTTGTATAGGTTTGGTATAATCTCAATTTGAGAAAAAAGTAGTATCTTTATTTGTAGTTTAATATTAATTTTTTTAGCTATGATGACAATGCATAATCAGGACACAATGGAGAAAAATGAATCATGTAGCCAGCCCCACGTAGTGGGATAAATACTTGATGTTGTTGTTGTTGTTAATGATAATGCATAATAAATGAAATCATATTTACTTTATATTTAAAAAAAAATTAAAAAAAAAATTACTTTATAAGTTGCACCTAAAAAAAAGAGTTCTGATCCTTTGCACAACACAAGCATTGAAACAAAATATTTCTAGATACTTGATGATGAACAAACCCCGAAACATGATTTTGAAGATTTGGATCATGAAATTTATAAGGATGATACAAATCCAAATGCTAAAGAGCAGAATACAATATGCAAGTTCCTAATTAAATTTAAATATATTATTTGGATAAAATATAAAATAAGAATATTCTGGCAACGTAGGATATGGAAATGAAAGGATTTGGGGAGAAAGCATTGGGCATGCAGCATTTGGGAAATCAACCTTTAGGGATAATTTTGATGATGTAAATTTAGAATATGAATTTTAGATATACTTGAATATGTGTAGTTAATTTATGTTTGAATTGATGTGTATGATTGAATTCATAACTAGTGAGTATTTTGTGTTAAATCAAGATCGAGTATCTTTTATATCTCTGATAATTCTATAGCATATGAGCACTTTTAGGTTAAATCATGATGGAGTATTACCATATTTCCTATAAATTGCAACCTATTTATGCATTGACACCGTCCCAATTGATTTAGTTTTACTACGAATACACATCCAATTTCAAAGCCTAAATCCGCGGCGAAGAGAAAATCCGCATATGCGTGAACAATCAATTAGTGGATATCGTATAGCAAGAAGATTGCAACGTCCCGCTCAGATCCACGATCAACAAAAAATAAATAGAGAAGCAAAAAAACAACATGAAAGAAGCCATAACATGCAGAATCCAATGAATCAGTACAATATCGAGGGCCGTAAAAGGTCAAGGGAGTTGTCGAAGGTGAATTCTTACAGCATTGCGAAGATCGGCATCGAGCTGCTGAATTACAAGTGCGAAACTGCGGGAGACCTTCTGCAGCATAGAGTAAGCGAATCCCCAGTGGGGTTCCGGCGGGATTTGTCTCTTGATTTGCTCTGCCGTCATCATCATCTTCGTCAGAGGGATCAGATCCTCCGGGTGCTCTAGTACCGCCTTGACCATCCCCATTGCCTCTCTCCCTCTCCCTCACACCTGCGATTTCTTATCTCTCGCCTCTTGATTATTGCCACACGAAGTCTTAAGGGCTTCTGTATCTTCCTCTCTCTCGCCTCTTCGCCTTCTGATTTATGGCCTCACGAAATCTCACGGGCTTCTATATTTATATATTCATATTCCGTTCCGTTTCTTCTTTCCCACACAACTCTGCTGTCGAACCCATGGTCCGCCCGTTCTATTCGCAAACGCAGTGCGGTAAGTGTTACGGTTTTTGCATTCAGATTCAGAAAATATCTGGCATTTTCCAAAAATAGTAAAAACAGCTGGCAATGTGAATGTGCGGAGCTAAAACAAAAAAACAGGTCAAGATTATTTTCTGTCAGGTTTCCCCACGTAATAATCTCTTCTAAAAAAATTTATTAGGTTCAAAGATCGGATGCCGAGAAAAAACAGAGAGGCGTTTTTTTATTATAAATTGAAGGTCTTGTTTGTTTGAAGCCCATCTGAGTTATTATTTAGGATTATTATTTTTTAAAGTAATTTTTTAATATAAAAATTAAAGCCGTTCGAAATCTTAGTTTCCAAAAACAATACATTTATTTTGCTTAAAAAGGTAAAGGGTACCAAAAAATAGAGAAACTTTTTTCTATCAACATGTATTGATAGTAGGGTGAATCTTAGGGTATTTAAATTTACATTAACATCAAAAATTTATATGATATCTTAAATTATATTAATTTTCATACAATTTTCTTAAAATAAATAAAATATTTAAAAATATTATTGAATTTTTTAATAAATGTTAAGTATATAAAATACTATAAGGGGGACTTAGCTACACATTCACAACTCTTGACTTAATCAAATTTTATTCAATAAAAAATAAAGGCAAAGTTCTAGACATCATGCATGGTTATCATAAACTGTTAGCCACACCTACACGTGGCATGCTTTATCTTGTATTTCATTAGTTTGTTTTAAGCTACACAATGTACTTTCTTTAATTATGTTCTATATATATATCTTTGTATCCAACAGTTAACAGATGATATAGAATATCATTTTCTCTCATCTTTCCAATTATGTGTCTCGTCTCTGTCGAAGGCCTGTCAAGGCTATCTCACTCAACATGGTATCAGAAGTTTAGGTTCCCGTCTTCCCTAGCTTCTTCTTCCTCTCCGATGGCTCATTCAAGCACTACGCCTCAATCCACTCATGCGGACTCCTCTACCGCCGATGGTATCTTCTCCTCTCCCCAAATTCCATCATCCTTGAAATTCTTGATGAGTAACATCAAGAATGTCATCTCCCAACAATTAACCGCAGAGAATCACTCTCTCTGGCGTTCACAAGTCATCAAACTCTTTCGAGCAAACAGCTTCGAAGGTTTCTTGACTGGTTCTATCTCTTGTCCATCTCCGCTCATTTCCTCTAATGCTGGTTCCCAAATCACAAATCCCGATCACACAACTTGGCTCCTGTTAGACCAAAATCTAGCCGCAGCTCTGTACTCTGTTATTTCCGCGTCAATTATTCCCTATGTACTCTCGGCAGATCATTGCAGCGACATATGGAGAATTCTTGATAGCCGACTGCAATCATCAACCAGATCAAGAATCTCCCAGCTAAAGAACGAACTTCACTACCTCAACATGAAAGACAAATCGATGACGCAGTATCTTCTCGACGTCAAATCTAAAGTCGACGCTCTAGCTGCCGCAGGAGCACCTGTCGAAGTAGAAGACGTCATCCACTATACTCTCAATGGGCTGCCGCCTACCTATCAAGCCTTCAAAACAGCCATCCGTACTAATCTTCGCTCGGTCAGTCTTGACGAACTTTACACTCTTCTGTGCAGTGAGGAGCTCAATTTGCTTCATGAAACCACCAAAGAACTTCATGACCTCAGTCTTCACGGTACCCAAACGGCTCTTACAGCCAACCGGGGCCGTGGTCGCGGCAGAACACCCAATAGCCGTGGAAGAAACAATTCAAGATCCAACTACTCTCAGTCCAACAGCAACCGCGGAGGTAAACCACCAAGGTCATCCATCTCCTGTCAAATATGCGGGAAAACTGGTCACTCTGCGGTTAAATGCTGGCATCGCCACGACGAGATGTACAATTCCGATCCACCCACAGCCCTGCTAACTTCATCCAACTCGTCCAACCCTTCCGAATGGTATCTTGATAGCGGGGCTACTACTCATCTCACAGCGGATCCGACTTATGTTCAAAACGCGCAACCGTATCACGGCACAAGTCAGGTAACACTTGGTAATGGACAACAAGTCCCGATCAAGAACACCGGCAACGGTTTTCTGCCCACCCCATCCGGTAACCTCAAGCTATCTCATCTCAATCTTGTTCCAAATTTATCATTTAATCTTTTATCTGTTCATCAATTAACCGCTGACAACAACTGTTTCATTACCTTTTACCCGCATGGATATGAAATTAAGGGACGACCCACCGCCGTCTTCTCACGGGTCCATCTATTAATGGGCTGTATCCTCTTCAACTCAAGCATCCGCTCGGCTACAATACAGACAACCTGGCTCTTATCTCTGTTCAGCATATTCCTGATCTGTGGCACCGGCGACTAGGTCACCCATCGTCTCAAACGCTCGCCGTCATCTCTAGACGGAACAGAACAGTTCTTTCAAGCATTGCCAGTTCTTCCTGTAATTCGTGCAAAATGGCTAAAAGCCATCGTATTCCTTCTTCTCTTTCTAAATCTAAAACTACTTCATTGTTTTCTGTTGTGCACTCGGATATATGGGGGCCCTTCTCCATGATCCCCGCACAAGGATACCGTTACTATGTTTGTTTCATAGAAGATTTATCTAAGTTTACCTGGATTTATCCACTAACCAATAAATCTGATGCGTTTGATAAGTTCTGTGAATTTCACAAATTAATAGAGCGCCAATTTGCTCACAAAATTAAAATTCTCAGAACCGACAATGGCACGGAATTCGTTAATCATAAATTTAATACTTATTGCAAATATACAGGTATTCTTCATCAAACTACATGCCCACACACTCCATCTCAGAACGGCGTTGCAGAGCGCAAGCACCGGCACCTTATTGAAACAACCAGAACCCTTCTCATACAAGCTTCTCTACCTCTTTCCCTTTGGGTCGACACGCTTCTAACCGCCAATTACCTCATTAATTGCATGCCCTCACCTAATACTCAACACAAAGCTCCTTACGAAATTCTCCTTGGTAAACAACCTGACTACACTCATCTTAAGGTAATCGGTTGCTTATGTTACCCTTGGCTCAAGCCTTATTCGTCGCACAAACTATCTCCTATCTCCCATCCATGTGTGTTCATTGGTTACCCTCAAACTCAAAAAGGGTATAAATGCCTTGACCTCCAGACCAACAAAGTGTACATCTCCAATCATGTGATCTTTATTGAAAACTGCTTTCCCTATGCTTCTTCCAACTCTCCGCATTCGTTCAATCCTGGATCGTCTCATAACCTGCCTCCGCTCCTACTCGTACCAAGCATAAGTCTACCGTCCACTATTTCTTCAGATTCAGCTCACCCGCCTGTTACTCAACACTCGTCCACCCACCTCACGGCTCCTACAGCTACCAATGATCATCAACATGCAACACATCAACCAAACCAGATTGACTCATCTATTCCTTCCGCTCAACCAAACATCATGTCCACGGCATCCTCAGCCCAGCCTTCTCAGCCACCTCAAACCGTTAAGCAAACTCATCCTATGTTAACCAGACTCAAAACCGGTACATCCAAACCAAAGAAAATCTTCGATCTTACTCATACTACCCAGCCATCCGAACCTAAAACCTACAATCAAGCTGCAAAATTGGAGCACTGGCGCAAGGCAATGTCCCAAGAATTCCAAGCTCTTCAATCTCAGGGCACTTGGGAACTAGTCCAACCAACACCGTCGATTAACATTCTTGGATCGAAATGGACTTTCCGCACAAAATTTAAATCTGACTTCTCGATTGCTAGGTACAAAGCTCGACTGGTGGTACAAGGTTTCAATCAGGAACAAGGCGTCGACTACACAGAAACCTTTAGCCCCGTGGCTAAAATGCCCACCGTCCGTGTGCTCATTCATCTAGCCTTGCACCACAGCTGGCCCATTCATCAACTTGACGTGTCCAATGCCTTTTTACATGGTAAGCTCTCGGACACCATTTACATGTCTCAACCCCCAGGCTTTCAAGACTCTGCCTATCCCGACTATGTCTGTAAACTCAAGAAAGCTCTATACGGGCTAAAACAATCACCGCGGGAATGGTATGCCACACTCTCTAATCATCTTACTACCTACGGCTTCAACATCAGCGCATCCGATCCATCATTACTAACCTACAAAGACGGTAACACTCGCATGTACATGCTAATCTACGTCGACGACATATTACTCACAGGTAACTCTCCACCCGCCATACAAAAATTGCTTTCTAATCTTCAGCTTTCGTTTC